TTAATTGCGCAAAATGGCAGGTATAATCATGTGTTAAACCTTGAATTTGACACAGGATTTCTGCAGAATCAAGATCTGCAAGAATAAGTAAATATGCATTACGTGCCGATTGATGATCCATCCATCCATTCATTATCTATACACCGCTTAATCCTCACTAGGGTCACGGGGGGGCTGGAGTCTATCCCAGCTGACTTAGGGTGAAGACAGGGGACACCCTGGACAGGTCACCAGTCTATCACAGGGTTACACTTAGAGACAGACAACCAAGCACACTCACATTCACAACTATGGACAATTTAGAAACACCAATTAACTTCAGCATGTTGTTTGACTGTGGGAGAGAACCCCCGCTGCACGGGGAGAACATGCAAACTCTACACAGAAAGATTCTGGGCATCCTAACCAGGATCTTCGAGCTGTGAAGCGATGATGGTAACCACCGAACCACCGTGCAACCCTCTACTTGATAATGAAAATTACAACTTCCAATACAAATGTGAAATTAATCAAATTAAGTCATATCAGATGGTCATTTTGGGGGTCTACTGGATAGCGTGACACAGTTTCCTATTTTATACTACTTCATCATTTTATGTATTTGAAATATGGACTAAGACAATTTTTTTTTGAGTTTTAGTTTTATTTAGGTCTAAATTGTTGCACTGAAATTTACACAAAACAAAAATTCCACCAAGTGATTCGCGGCTTGAAATGCTCTAAGTAATCTGAAGAAATAAGGCTCCTAATAAGATGAGACTGGTTGAGCAGCAGGGATGGTGATTTTCGTTATTCTGCATTCAGCTCATGTTGTTTTTCATACTGCAGGTCAGCAAATGAAGTGCTCCTAATATGAGGCTCATCCCAGCAGTAAAGTGAACAATTCCCTCCATTTAGGCCTGGAGAGGGTTGATGAGGAGCTGCACGTTCTCCCCCTAAATTATCATGCTTCAACAGCCACCGCACAGATTCAACACAATAGAGCTTACTGCAAGCGGGGAAGCATTCAGCGAGGCTGTAGGAGCTCTTTTCCTGAAAAGACACGAGAAACGTCTACTTACGGAAACAAACTTTTACTTTGGAATTCAGGAACTTTGGCTTAAAAAATAAAACAGATTTGAGTGTAGCATTAAAGTCAAGTTAGTTCTGTTGAGCTGAGTGCAGTTCACATATAAGCATCAATACATAAGAGAGAATAATGCACAATAGTAACACCTTAAGAGAATACATTAGTATCATTAAAAGCAGAACTAAAAATCGCCTCTTATTTCCAATAAATAAAGAAACCCTGGGCTTTTAATGAGAAACTCCTTTTCACTATTCACATTTTGATCTTCTACTTCATCAAGGGTCATTAATATTTTTTTATTGCCATGTACCACATACAAGCCTTGATTTTGCCTGATGTTTCCACTCTCTATGCAGATACTGTGGATTTTTGATTGCAGGTAAAAATACTGAAAGTAATGAAAGTTGTTATTGAACTACTGGGCCTGTACCTTTGGGCTAAGATTAGCCTTCAGTCCAAGGGTGCTGCCCTGCACTCAGCACTTATAAAGCTTGTTATTTAAATGAATAGCTTGTGGGAAGTGGGTAATAAATATTTAGCAGAGTGACCATAGGTTTCGCATCAAGAGCTTAGCAAACCTGCTTAAAGTCATCTAATACCACCCAGGACTTTGATTACAAACAGGATGAAACATTGCTGTATAGAATGTCTCACAATTTCAAGTGACTTATGACCTGCAACTGTGCTGATAATGGCCTTGGACCAGAATAGTAAGTCATTTCTGTGAATCAGAGATGGAGCAACTGCTATAGAATCAAAGGTCACTGCCACCTACCCCAGCTTCCTGCTCTCGCGCTACCTGTCGGCTCAGATGTGTGAACGCAGACAGGAACTGACAGCCTTCAGCTAAAGTGGGCCATTGTAAAACAAAAAAAATAGTTGCATTTATTTCATCTTATTTGTCTTAATTAAAACTGCTTTAAGATACTGTTCAACTCTTCTGTGATTATAGGCCCCTGTTTATGCTGTAAAGTCTGGACCGGTGTTCTGGTAGGTATAGACCGCAGTGAGCAGAAGAGGCTGTAACCCCGAGAGAAGATTAAATCAACCAAAGAGGTTCCCTCCTAGTCGTTAGCCCATGTAGTAATGCACTCTTATAATAAAATAAAACCTTGTGTGCGAGCAAATGAAAAATTATTCCTGAGCGGAGCCAGCTCAGTCAGAGCATTTGTCATATTTCTGTTCCAAGTGATTACAGAAGGTCAGCACTCTATGAATAACATAAAAACCACAGTCCTGTTGTATAAATATTAAGGTGCTCCAGCAAAGATAAGATCTTCAATGTCTGGAGGAATATTGACTGAGCAAAGTAAGTCTAGACTCTCCGTGTACACACACTTTAATCCACTGAACAGGAGTGGGGTGTGTGGTGTAATCAGAGTGGACAAAAACACAATGTTTGGACTTTTACAATAAGATAAAGGGCTAAACATGACAACATGCAGAGTTTGCATCATCATTCAAATATTTTTAAAGCCAAATAAAACCTTGCTAATGCAGAAGTCATCATCGTGATGGAGACCACTGATACAGACCACCCAAAAGTGGACAGGAAGAGCTAGAGCCTGTCGATGAGGAAAAACTTGGATCTGTTATTCAGGAATTTTTCAGTTTTCTTTTTAAATGTCACATAAGCCTGATTACACTAAGTAAACACAAATATGATCCCAAACTACAGTATTCATTATCACACTACTTTCAGATAAACTTGTGTCGACTATCAACCAAACAACATGCTTCAAATGTATAAAAGAACCCGTGAACTCCTCCAAAGGTCATTCCGCCATTCTCATCACACCCTTCTGTAATTTGTACCAGAGCTGTAACTGTCATATGTTCAATTATTGTGCATTCAGCGGTAATGAAGTGGCAATGAAGTGAAACAGCATCTCCGTCTCTCACAGAGGGGATGCTCATCACTTGCTGCTGCCATTGACCTATAAAATAACCTAAATTGAATGTTACAGGGAAATGAAAGACACCGAGTTCTCAGTGGAAGTTTTAGATTTACACTTTATTAAAAAAAATGAAAGAAAGAAAGAAAAAAAAGAAACGTCAGTCCTCAGAAGTCATTTTAAAGGTTCAATATTTCCAGAAATATAACTCCCACAAAAATCCTGGGTCTGAAAACATCCATCCATCCATCCATCCATCCATCCATCCATCCATCCATCCATCCATCCATCCATCCATCCATCCATCGCTTCTTACTCTACCTAGTGCTGCCTCTCTCTCCCTCTTTCCCTCTCCTCCTCCCTTCCTTTCCTTTTTCCTGGATGGGCGTGCGTTGGCTGGTGTGTGAGCTGGTGGACAGGTGCGGTGACTCTGCTGATCACCTGAGTGCTTTCACCTGTGGTGGGGCGTGGTCTTCATTCACCAGTTCACTCCTGCCTCCCATAAAAGCTGACTGCAGACCACAACATGCTGCTGGATCATAAAGCACACTTTGATAGGTCACTCTGGGTCACTTCTGTTATTATTCTCTGTGCCTTGAATTCCTGCTAACCTGTGTTCTCTCTGCTCCAGCCTGGACCCACCCTGCTGTCTCAAGCTCCTGGTCAACCATCCAGTCATTCCTTCAGGTTCTGCTGGCTCATCTCTGGAAAAGTCTCTTGGTCCTCCAGCTTCCACCACCAGCCATGCCACTCACCATTTCCTCCCCTTTTCCCACTTCACTGTCAGTAAGCCCTCAGTCTCACGCTGGGTCCTACTATTGCAAATTTGTACAGAGTATTTTGTATTATATTTGTAAATGGTAACTGTTTCATAACGTTTGTTTAGATTTTCTATCGTAGCATTGTAGTTTGTATTCTGCATCATAGTATTGTAGTGTGCTTTCATGTAGCTTGTGTAATTCCTAGCCCAGTGTTGTGTTTTTACATTCCTGCCTTGGTTGTACCAAGTTCAGGTCAGTGTAGTTTTGCTCTGTCTTTTTCTCCTAGTTCTCAGTTCAGCATTAGATGTACCCAGTCCGCCCCGTCCATAGGTGTCACCTGTTGGTCAGTTCCCCATGACCTTTGACCCAGTTTCTGCTTCCTGTGTATATTTTTGTAAATACTGTACATATTTTCTTGCCAAAATTCTGCTTGCCGTGTCTTTGTCCATGCCTGTGTCTCTGAGTCTGTTCCTTAACAATACACCACTTAATCCTTACTAGGGTCGTGGGATGCTACAGCCTATCCCAGCTGACTTAGGGCAAAGGCAGGGGCCACCCTGGACAGGTCGCCAGTCTATCACAGGGCTCCACTTGGAGACAGACAACCAAGTCCACTTGCATTTACACCTACAGACATTTTTTAGTCATCAATTAACCTTAACATGTTTTGGACTGTGGGAGGAAGCCAGAGAACCTAACTGGGATGCCAGCTGTGGATCTTCTAGCTGTGAGGCGACAGTGCTACCCACCAAGCCATTGCACAGTATGTCTAAAAAGATGAAATTCTTTAAATTCAGCAAAAAATATTTTACAGAATTCAATTTACCCAATATCAGATAAATAAACAGTGGGGCAAAATATTCCCTGTGTTCTGTCTGAAGTGACACAGACTGACCCATGTATTGAATTAGAGAGTTGTGTTTGTTTTCCGGCGACTAATTAGGCTGTCTCCGGTTACTATCCAATTCTGGGCCACAATATAAATCAAATGGCAGCAAGAATAGATGTGAGGACTGTGCACCAAAAGGAAAATAAGGCACATTGCAGGATTGAAGTCCTAAAACTAAATACATATATATAAATATATTTATGTATACATATTAAAATTAAAGCAAAAGAATTGTATCAACTGCACATCAGTCCTATGGTAGATCATGTACATGTATAAGTGACTAATATAAGTCTTTGTTTGTATTAGTTTCCCTTAAACAATGTGTGACAAATGGAGGAACCTCTACCAAGGAGAAAAAAGGGCTGACAAATAGTTTACAATGAACTCATGTCTGACTTATTTCCTACCATTTCAACTTCTTGCTTTTTAACTGCAGTTTGTGAAATTGTGAAAATTGCACATTCATATATGCCGATCAGAGGTTCCTCTTCGTTACTTCTTTCTCTTTCTTTGCAGCTCAGGGATGACTTGTATCGATTACCAGCAAAGAGGTTTGGAACCACCAGCAAACTCCATGACACAGTAACTCTGGCTTAGAGTGAACAGCTCCGGTGGTTTCATCCAGATGGGTGGAACTGTGCAGCTGCAGACAAACGAATGATTGAGCGTGGAGCTGGACATTCATCATTCTCAGGGGAAGGACCTTCGGTGTATTCAAGGTGAGAGAAAGAAGCGTTGACACTGATCATTTATCTGTTAACAGGCTGTGAAAGTGTTGATCAGTTGATTTGTGGGTGCATGTGTGCGTGCTTCCTGTGCATATGCAAATACCTGCTTTTAAGCATCATGTTTATGCTTCTCATTTGCACTGATATAGATGTGTTTTCCTGTGCACCTGTCCTGCAGCGGGGTCCAGCTGCTTCACACTGATACCATGCTGATGTTGGCGGCTGCTGGTTTATTGTTCTCTCTCCAACACAAAGCAGGTGACCATCTGTCTTCATCTCGTTTCCTTTCTCTGAATCCTCTCCAGAGGGTCAAAGACTTATTTTTTTTCTCACTACTCTTCATTCCAGCCTGTAGGCACAGTCACAGACTCTCTGAAACAGCAAGGATATTGTGGTGAGTGGCCAGTATACTCATTTATAATCTTTTTTTTTTTTGGGAAGTCTAACTGTGCCAAAAAAAACCCATCCCTATGAAATAAAAGTGGATTTATATCTGATTTTAGAGTGGAGATGCACGTTTGATATTCTCCTCCTGTAGGACTTGGTGTGTCCACCCCCAGAGGAAGAGATTCCAGTCACACATGTGACTTTGGAGAAAGAAGAAAAGGAGTATTAGTAATGATGATATGAGGTCACTGCCTGACTGGTCTTGTCTGAACTGGATCCCCCCCCCCCCTCAAGCAACAGTTACCTTAAGGGGAATTAACATATTCATGCCTTGAGCCAACTATGTTCAGATAAAAGGATAAGCCCTGGTGGAGTGGATGGTGGCGCAGTGATCAAAATGACTCAGATTTCTGCAGGAATAGACGCTGTTGGGGACTTATTGTGTGTATTTTTCCAACCTTTGACACATGTCTGACTTTGAGGGACAGCTAATCTCCTCTTTGGGAACCTGCTTGTGACTCATTCAGTATCCTGGGTCCGTCCTGTCCCTCCGCCTGCCGGACCGCAGGGACCACACTTCATTCTGGGAAACTTACGCGTCTGGAGCGCAGCGACAACCTGCTGGACCGGATCCTAAAGTCATTGAGAGGAAAGGACGCTACCTCTGCCTCTCTGGGACATAAAAAAAAAACAACAAAAACAAACAAACATGCGAAACCTAAATAAGGGTGTCTCAGTCGATGCCCACAAACTCAAACAGGGAACTCCCTCGACGCGTCCGGGCTGTTTCTTCGCTGAGCGCACACTCATCCAGCATCCGTGATCATGACTTCGGCTCTGCCCGCCTCCAAGGCTCTCTACATCGGGATGGAGGTGGTGATCGCCGTGTCCTCGGTCATCGGGAACGTGATGGTGGTCTGGGCTGTGCGCATTAACCGATCATTGAGAGACACCACGTTTTGTTTCATCGTCTCCCTGGCCTTGGCTGACATTGCGGTCGGGGCTCTTGTCATCCCGCTCGCCATAACCATCAGCATCGGACTCCAGACGCACTTCTACAGTTGCCTGCTGGTCGCCTGCACAGTGCTCGTCCTCACGCAAAGTTCAATCCTGGCGCTGCTGGCCATCGCCATCGACCGCTATCTGAGAGTCAAAATACCGATGAGGTAGGCCTAAAGGTGAATTCCTCTAGTTTTCAATATCTTGTCACACGTGTACAGAAGCCTTTGTGTCTGGACCGCTCCTTGGATCAAGGGCACGCTCGCTCCAGAGTCAGAGACATGCAATCAGAAATGACTGTGACATGTGGAGTAAAGGTGTGTCTGGTTGAACATGAGCAGAATCTGATGTGGCTTTAATGGGCTCTCTGCAATATCTTCAGGAATTTCAGTCACCAGGTGTTTCATTCATTCATTCATTACCAGGTGCTCTTGTGTACATTTCCAGCTCATTATTTCACCCTGAATTTAAGCTGTAAATTGGAAAAAGAGACGATTGAAAGGCAGCACAAAAAAGCAGCATCACTAGTTGTATTTCTACACCATACTAAACTATAGTTTTCTACTTTTACTGTATTTGGGATGCACAGAATTTAAACATTTAGAAGTCATACATGTTGCATTTCTGAACTGGATTGCTTAGAAACTACTTTATCTTAGAAGCATTTTGTTTTTCTTCAGTTGCATGGCGCCTTATCTCCTGTGCAGAGGAGGAGATTTGGAAGTCGGGTGCATTTTCATCATGTTACACTCCTCTTCTTGCCTCACCTTCAGATTTAAATTCTTTTTTATTCCTCCTGAAAACTCCAGTTTCCACTTCAAGTTGCTTCATTTGACAGCAACCCTGGAAGAGCCTGGCAGAGAATGCATGATTGGTCAATAGGCTCATGGTGACTGGTTGATGGATTGCATAATTTTCCAAGCTGGCAACCAACACACACTCACGCAGGCACACAAGTAAACACATCACACACGAGCACACAGCGCACTGCGAGGGGGCATTAATATAGGTTGCAGTGACATTAGGCAGAGAACATTGTGTATTTTAGGAATGCTATACAGTAGGTGTGTTATTTATCAATGTTCTGCAGCGTATTTCTGCCTTATTTATCGTGTCTGTGGTGAACATGTGGCAGCAGGTACATGTAGACACAATACATGGCAGGACAGAGTAAGATTTGACTCTATTCTAAACCAAATATACAAGTGAATCTCATATCATGTAAAAGATTCAGATTTTTGCTTGTTTTTCTTGTAAATTTACCAGTTTAAATCAGCCTTGGGTCAATCATACAGTGTTTCCCCTCAGGATTGTCGTCAATATTGTAAGCGGTAGTTCCTATTGCTAATTAAAACAAACCAAAAAAAAAGCAGCACATTTTTTACACAGTTACACCTATGAGACGTTTTACTTCCACCTCACAGAGGATCAATTTGTGTGGCAGACTCCAATCTGGAAGAGTTCAGTTTTCAAACAGCAGCAAATTATATGTTAGTGTCTTGTGGTGAAGTGATAATGTAAGGTAGAAATTGAGTCCTCCTCCCTGAACCACTCTTTACCACTCTGGAGGGACACAGTTTAACAAGCACTGATTGCTTTTTATAGCTGAGGTATTTGGAAGCACACTGCCATGATAAGGATGGTCTGAGATTTGCATTGCCGTCGTGCTTTTAGCTGGGGGACACGATTTGCAGGTGGGAGATGTGGATCAAAACCTCCAGAGGGGAAGAGGAGATAGACGGACAATCAAATTCAGAAAGCAGTTTTTGGCGGATGAACAGCTCATCTGTATGCAGACGGCCGAGGTTCACAAACAGCTGTATGAGCAGTCGAGTATACAGATGGAGATTACAAAAAACTGACGTCACACGTGGGAACACGTACTCCAGACATGGTTTCGTTTTTGATAACTGTTAATTCAGTTGTCTTGTGTTGTGTTTGCTTCACCCTATCTGACCACTGAGTGTGTGTCAACATGACAGAGTGGGTGAGGCTAGGACCACAAAACATGAGAAAGAGAGGAAACATTACAGTTTAGCTCTTGCACATATCTCAGTGTGTCCTACTGTGAATTTAGCCCGAAAGTGGTCGTGATGAGGAGAGAAAAATGTGCGTCACACGGGGCTCGAAAGCACCTCACATTATTTGCTCATCCATTTCATCAGATTGAGTCAGTTCCTACTCTTTAGAGAAAGGGCAGAAATAAAAACTAAACAGTCTACCACAGGAATCTTACATGTCCGTTTCACAATGACTAATTTATCGACCTGTCCAACTGCAGACTATTGTGTGGGAGAGACAGGACCAGTGTTGTCCTCTTAGGATACCAATGAATCCCCGACAGTTATGACAGACCAGAACTCCCACAGTTTTCACTTCTCAGCAGCAATGTCTTGCTTGTTTTGGCAAGATGTGATGTTCTTCCTAGGAAGGATTTCTAGATAAAGTAGATTGAAAGAAGACACTGCAGCTGCCTAGAAACACAGAGATTTAAAAGATTAAAAGAAAAGAAAACTAAGCGAGCATACCAGAACAAAATAACCCAAACAGGTATAATATAATTTGGTCCAACAAATTGCAACGTTATAGCAAGACTCTGTAATGTTGGAAAGGGGAGAAAACACATTCTTCCCTTGAAAAGTTGAACTCATAAACAAGTCACACCACCGCTCAGTGGTTCTGCTGCTGCAGAGCTGCTCAGTCTGGTTTAACTTGAGCCAGATCTTGCTCTATAGTGGATATTTCTGAGCCAATTTGCTGACTCATGATTGGTGTCCACCTTTGCGGCACACTCTGCTTCGTCATTTTTAGTTATCTCCTAAATGTCACTTGTGGAAACAGCACTGGTGGAAGAAGTGTTTCGTTTTTTTTTTTTTTTACTAAAGTAAAAGTACCACTAGAGCAATGTAAAAATGCTCCATTCAAATCTTATATTAAGTATTAGCAGCAAAATACAGTTAAAGTATTAAAGTAAAAATACTGGTTTGGTTCCTCTGACTGACATATTATTACAGCTTTTTGTAAGCTGTCAGATATCAAAAAAGGCTGGAAACCACTGGTTTAGTCTCTAACAGTACATTGTGTTTTAAAAGCTTGTTACATTATTCATTGTGTGAAATCTTCATCTTAAACATTGCAACTAAAACTGTCAAATGTTATTGAGTAGAAAGTGCAATAGTTTCCATGAAAATGTGAAAACTGTAGTAGCATAAAGTGGAAACACTCATTCAAGTACCGGAAAATAAGTACAGCATTTGAGTAAATGTGCTTCATTACTTTCCACTGAAGAAAAGTGGATATTGGTACTAAAGTTGTAGTAGTTTTGCTTTAAGACTTGGAACAGCACCCCAAGAAACAGTAAAAACAAACAAACAACAAAAAAAATGACATTATCAACCTTACAAGGGAAGTTTTTGTTGTAATTGTTTTGGAATGTTTTGGCTGCTGTATATAAGATGTCGGATTACTGAAAAATAACCCAATTGGTTGTAAAAACACTTGCAATTTGAAATTAGTTCACAGAAAATGTGTAATGAAAACTGAAGCAGCACACGCAGAGTCGTGCTGTATCTGTCCACAGAGATTTTTCTCTCAGTGCATCATCCTCTCCCTTGTTACCATAGCTACAAGCGGGTGGTGACCCCTCGGCGAGCCGGCACGGCAGTGCTGTTGTGTTGGCTGGTGTCCATCATTGTGGGCCTCACGCCCATGTTGGGCTGGAACAACCTGCAGCGTCTCCGGGACAACGGCTCCCTGATCACCGATGACCTCGTGGTGACTTGTGAGTTTGAGACGATCATCAGCATGGACTACATGGTCTACTTCAACTTCTTTGGCTGGGTGCTGCCCCCTCTGCTGCTCATGCTCGCCATCTATGTTGAGATTTTCTACATGATCCACAAGCAGCTCAACAAAAAGGTGCGGCTTTTCCTCTGAATTGGCTTTGGAAAACACACAGCAACAAAAATGATTAACCGACAGTGCGAGAAGCTACATTTCTACACTGACAGTCATGTTTTTTTCATCTGTTTGTAGGTGACAGCAAGCCACACCGACCCCAGTCGGTACTTTGGGAAGGAGCTTAAGTTGGCTAAGTCGCTCGCACTCGTTCTCTTCCTCTTCGCAGTCAGCTGGCTCCCTCTTCACATCCTTAACTGCATCACCCTCTTCTGCCCAGACTGCAACAAACCAATGTTCCTCATTTACATCGCTATCATCCTCACCCACGGCAACTCGGCGGTCAACCCAATCATCTACGCTTTCCGCATCAAGAAGTTCCGCACAGCTTTCCGGAAAATCTGGAAACAGTATGTGCTCTGTCAGGATCCAGTTGGTCGTCTTCCCCAGAGAGGCAGCCAGAGAGGACAGAGTCATGAGCGGCGGCTCAGGCAGAATGACGATGATGATGATGATGTGTGACCTTTGGCAACTAATTGGATTTGCTGTGTAACTGTCAAGTTTCACTACAATTACTGGCTAAAAGGAGAAGACTTTTTTTTTGTTGTCATGTACAAAGGTTTACTGGTCAAAATGGCCTTAATGCCATCAAAGGAATGATCTGTTTTCATCCAACATGCTCTGAGAGGACAGGATTACAAATCAGCATGGAGGACCTAAATCAGACTGATTCAGATGAGACTGACTTCTCCACTGGCTGACAAAACAATGACGATGTCATATGGGAAAAAGGGGCTTCTTACCAGTTTCAACACCAACCTGTTGGACTTGAATCAATAAGTGTATATTTGTAGCACATGTGGTACAATAGTAGTGTATGCTGTACTGTCTGACCTAAATTAAATCTCATTGCCTTTTCCATGTGAATGAGCTCAAATATTTATCCTGTTATGTGCTACATCAACATACTTCGTTCTGTGGCCTTATGGACAGTAAACTGAGGAACTGAGGCAAACTTGTGTCGGATTGTGGAAAACCAGTGGTGGGCAAACTGGAAGTTTGTCAAACCAGCTTGGTGCCATGAGAAGAACCAGGATGTGAGATGTTATTCTACCTGCATGGAGGAGAACATGTAAAACTGGAACCCAGGATCTCCGGTGAAGCTCCGGTTTACTAACGGCAAAGTCACACATTAACTCATCAAAGTTTCGTCCTGTGTGGAGCGTCGCCACATGTGAAGGTTGTGCTTTTTACCTTTCTGAGACCATTTGACTGACAAAATAACTAATACTAGCTAATAGTCGTAGCTGAAAAGAGCAGCAAAATTACTTGATTGCTTCTCATGAAATACTTGTGAACATGTACAATGCATAAACACCACAGATCCAGCTATAGTAACCATATAACTGTAGCCACATCAGTATTTTTTAAATGGAGAACTGTGAATCTAAGGCATGCTGGAGCTCCTCCATCCACTAAGCTCCATTTGATCTTATCATTTTAACCTTGTAATGTACCTCTACTGCACATGTATCACTGGTTCCTTTACTTACAGGTGTTTTTAACCCTTTCAAACTTGTAATCCTGATTCTTTGTGAGACAGACTGGCGAGTGTAGCATCATCACATCTTCTCAATTTTGTTGCAGAGCTGACTTAAAGTGTTGGCCTTTAAACTGAATGATATTTGACTTGATAGATACGTGTTGAGATGGGACTGCTGCCACCAATAAATCGTGTAGTATGTAACTAATATATGTATAAATGTCGATGGAAGACATCGTCTGAAATTGATCTCATATCTGACGTCCTCTTACAGCTGAGTGAAGAGACAGAAATGTAAGCAAAAATGTGAAAATTGTGCTTCTTTTGGACATGGATTTTTCTTCTCCATTTTCTACATGCTTCTCTGTTTCGATGCTATCAATGGCGAGAGACCTTTTTTGTCTTCATTAGTCATTGATTTCTGTCAGAGAGCAGCTACATGTGGGAATAACAGAGAAGGTTGTGAAGGAGTCCAGGGTGAAGTGACAAACTCATCAAGAGTTTACATGTCTGAGGAGGTCACAACCGAAAGCACCCTCACATATGATTTTCTACAGTGTTGTAACATGTACAGTACACACACAGACACACACACGTCTTCGTCAGACAAGTGTACTCACTGCATATCTGACGCTGCTGCTCTTGTATTGGTGTTTCCATGTGACTATTTTCTTACTCTGTGTCCATGTGAAGTGCTTTTAAAGCCACTATGTGTATAATTTAGTTTATATTATTAAACATGTAATTCCAATGGAATTCAGAGGATCCATTCAAATGTTTCTGCATCAAGGGTAAATTTTGGTGCCATGAGTTTGCATCGTGGACCTACAGAGAACCGGAAACTGTGAAATAGAGGAAGCAGTTGTAGCTTATTAGCTGCCTTCACTTTCACTGACAAGTTCCTGTCAGATCAATGGTTTCCTGTCATGAGGCAAGAGTCAAAAGTACAAATAGATCTTTTTAATAAACTGTGTGAAGCTTTTTTTTTTGTTAACTCACTGTTAGAAAGCTTCTGAGCTCACTGAATAATTTTGGTTAGTTTGTTATTTTTTAATAAAATGGTGTGAAAAAGTGAACAAAACGCTGTGGGGAAGTAAATACACTGATCTGGAGGGAATGGAGTAAAAAATGGCAGGAGCTATTATATCTGACAGGCCAACTAGTGAGTCAGTTTAGTCCAAATCTATCAACCAACCAGTCCTGCAATGCAAAATTTTAGCTTTTGTGTGAACCAGCGAGTGTCATTTTTGTGGCTTGACTTGTGTTTATTATTCCCTGCTGCTTACTTGTTTTTAAATTCTATACATAGTGGCTTTAGGTTTTAATCTGTTTACTTACTACTGAACCAGTGTGATCAATTGAACATGATTTGTGCAATATTCTCAGATGTACATTAACAATATCAGAAGAATATCTATAGCTTAGATATTGTACATGTAGATGCTGTTAATCAGAAATCAAGTGCTGGAGGCTCAGAGCAGAATGCGCTATTATGACGAGCTGTTTTGTTAATATCTAACTATAAAGGAATAAATGGGTCAATACGTGGAGTCAAATGGCAAAGAGCTGATTCTTTATGTCCGCTGGAGTAAAAATTGTTTTAATGCAGTTGGGGTTATCTGATGTGCTGTCGGAAAATACACTTAGATCAAACACAAGATGGAGAAAAGGAAGTTGCTTTCATCGTGGCCGCTGACTACAAAGAATCTGATGAGAGCAGTTATCAAGCAGTTCTAAATTTCAAAAAGTTCTTCACAGGATCTAACAACACACTGTCATTAGTCATTTTTCAAATGCCAGAGCAGCCTTTTCTGTTTCCCTGCCTCGTAGTCTTTCAGTGAAATTCACACGGTCATACAGGAAAATGAAGTCATGTTTAATCATGTAGCTTGCCATCAGAGGTCCCACCAGATTTCACAAAGTGTAACATACGCTATAAACAGTCAACATGTAAATGAATACTGTTTATCTGTGATTTTAC